AAGAGTTCCAGAGGGAGGGCCACCAGGCAGTTAGGACATCAGAAGACATAGGGACAGTCAGGAATAAAATAGCCATTTTAAGGGGGGATTGTAGTGGATTGTGATAGACAGTCCACGTTTTATTAGATGATCAGTAAAATGACAATTTTATAGTCTTGCTACATTCTGTTTCTTGCTCTTTAAATTCCTTACTCTCTTAAGTAAACAATCAGATATATGTTGACAGAACAATGATGATAATTAAGATGGCGCCTTCATCCGGAGTCTCACCCTTGGGGACTCATTAGGAGAAAAGTATCTTTTAATGTAAACAACCCCCATAAAAGGGAATGAGTCTCTTTGGGGACAATGATTGGAAGATATCAACACGGATGGACGAACACGCAGAAACCAGTGGACTTTTCACCCAATCAATGTATATGCTTTGCCTGCATCATATGCCCTATAAATGATACTGTTAGTTCCTCAATAAAACAGAATTTTAGGAAGTTGGCAAACTGCGAAGTGTCAGTGTCTTACTTCCACGTGCACGTATTCTCATATTAATTTGGCTCACTGGTAGATCACGGTAAATGGTCTGTAAGTGACCTAGTCCAAGACACTAGTATAGTGTCGGAACAGATCAATATCTTTGATCAGATCAGCACTATACCAGCGTTTACATTAGTATAGTGTCCCCAAAAAATGCAGCGTTTGCCGGATCAGCCCCGGCACTTGCCAGCACCTTTGTTTAGCCCCTACGCTTCCCCCCCCTCTTCTACCCCAGCAAGTGCAGTGTCAGTAGGTCACTGTCACTTGATACATTGCACACAAAACTGCAGTGTTCGCAGAATCAGGCCTGATCTCGGTTAGCACTTGCCAGTAAATTTTTTTGTAGTGGTTCAAGCAGTCCTTGACAGCCAGGTGCTCTTTTTTTTTCCCTGTGTACCTATAAAGATAGTGGCCAAAATGTCCAATGAAAGGTACTCTAGTGAAGAAGCCTACAGGATTCTGAGCATGTCAGAGCGAAGGCGAAGAGTACCTGACACAATCTGCCTCAGAATATGAACATGTAGACAGCAGCGGCACCCTGACAGATATCTGACAATGGAGAAGAGGTCCCTGCTAGGGTCAGGTGTACCCGACCCCATTCCCAAGTTGCTGAGATGTTCCAAACGCATGATGACTCTCATATGCAGCAGAATGCCAGTACTAGTGCCGCTCTACCTTTTGGTGAACTGGCGAGCACCAGCTGCCTAGTACATCCTGGTCTTTCACATACCAGCACTGCAGTATCACTTGGTGATATAGCGAGTCCCATAAGTGCAGTACAAGCTGGTGCGGTAGCGAGCACAAGTATTGTCCCGCAGCCACCAAGAATTAGCACACAGGCCCGTAGAGCCCCTAGTATTCTTCTGGAAGTTCTTGCAAATCCCGATTGCAGCCCACAAATTCTGCACCACCCGTACTTCCCCTATTCACTATCCAACCCAGAATTCAGGTGGAAATAGCAAATTTAAATACTCCCCTTGAGTTTTTGGAGCTGTTTTTCACAGAAGATCTGCATGCATTGATTGTGGCTCAAAGCAAGGTATATGCACAACAGTTTATCTCCACCAACCCAAATTCAAACCTTGCCAGACCATTCGCATAGAAACCTATTACGTTTTCTGAATGTAACATTTTTTTTTGAGCCTAACCCTCAACTTGGGCATTACAAAAAAAAAAACTGAATTGCGGTTGTATTGGTCCTCAGACCCGATTCACCATATGCCTGTGTTCTCTGCTGTCATGGCCAGGCATAGATATGAGAGCATAATGCGTTTTATACATTTCAACGACAACACACTCTGTCGTCCTCGGGGTAACCCTTAATTTGACTGGCTGCACAAAATTCAGCCTCTCGTAAATTGCCTTAACCAAAAATTTGCAGATGTCTATACTCCCCAGCAAAACATCTGTTTTGATGAGTTCCTCTTTAATTTTTTTGGCCGCCTTGCATTCAAACAATTTCTCCCCAGCAAGTGTGCCAGATATGGAATCAAGATGTATAAGACCTGTGAGAGGGTAACAGGCTATACATATAGGTTTTGGATTTACGAGGGAATAGATAGTCACGTGGAGCCCCCCCGGATGCCCCAAACTATCATGGCCACTGTGGCAAGATAGTTTGGCACTTGGTGTCATCCTTTTTCCATATGGGGTACCACTTATATGTGGACAATTTTTATTCAAGCGTGCCACTATTTAGACGTGTACAATCTTGGAATTGGCACATGTGGCACTGTGCGACCTAATCGCTGGTGCTTCCCACAGCGGCTTGTAAATACCCGTCTTAGAAAGGGGGAAAAAGCCTGCTTGACAAATAAGGAACTGCTCGCAGTGAAGTGGAAGGAAAAATGGGATGTTTTCTTCCTGTCTTCCATTCACGCAGACACGACCATCCAAATTGCCACGGCAGCTGATGTTGTTGAGAAGCCCCTCTGTGCCCATGACTATAACCTTAGCATGGGAGGGGTGGACTTCAACGACCAGATGATGAAGTCGTACTTAGTTTCCCAAAAAGCCAGACGCTGGTACAAAAAAGCGTGTTTATTTTAATTGGCTCTATATAATGCTTTTGTGCTTTACAAGGTAACTGGACGAAGTGGATCCTTCCTAGAAATTCCAGGAAGAGATCATCACGGCCCTTTTGTATCCAAAAGGTGCTGTGGCCCAAAGCCCCAACCCAGATGCAGTTAGCTGGCTGCATGAGAGGCATTTTCCCGATGCCATTCCTGGTACCCCAACCCATAGGACACCCCCAAAAAATAACGTGTCTGTAGCAGACAGGGAATTAGGCGTGACACCTGCTATTTGTCTCTCCTGTCCTGGGCAACCTGGTCTCTGCCTTAAGGATTGCTTCCGTCGATACCACACACTAGTGGAGTATTAATATAGGGTACAGCACAGAACAATTCAGGGCACATATTTACACAGGGTCTCAAAAGATGTTAGGTAGTCAGGAAACTGGCTATTGCATTTTAGAGGCCCTACAACCTGTTTTAAAAAAGTTTAAAGTTAAAAAAAAACAAAAACATATCTCCCAAAAAAATTTTAAAAACCAAAAATAGTTAGTTTCTTTTGTTGTTACTGTTCTACAGTTACAATTTTATTAACCATTGCTGTTTTCTTTTCAGGAATGCCATTCAGCTGCAGCACCCACCTGTTTATTCTGACAGCAACAGGAACTTACTTTCAGAATATACACAAGTCAATGTGGGCAGCGCTGTTGGATGAGATTTTTCATCCACAGTTAAAAAAGAGCATATATGCTGAAGCATGGGGACCTGGGGTGGCCAGCGGGTGGATGGCCACTATGCGTCAGCATATATATTTTATAATATTTTTTGGCACATTTCATGTGTGCCCACCATTAAAAATGGGTGGATGCAGGGAGGTATATTCTAATGGTGGGCATACCACACACTTTTTCTGGCATAGATATTTCAATAAAAAAGTTGTTTTATTGAGTTACTGTTTTAATGTTAACCATTTCTGTTTTCTTTGCGGGATTGTCATTCAACTGCAGCACCGACTTGTTTATTCTGACAGCAACAGGGTCTTGTGCTCAGAATATACATAAGTAGGTGTTTGCAATGCTGTTGGATTAGATTTTTTAATCCGCAGTTAAAAAAAAAAAGAGCAGATATGCCAAAGCATGGGGGCCTGGGGTGGCCAGTGGGTGGATGGCCCCTATGCTTCGGCATATATATTTTATAATAATTGTTGGCACATTTCATGTGTGCCCACCATTAGAAGTGGGTGGATGCAGGGAGGTGGTATATCCTAATGGTGGGCATACCACACACTTTTTCTGGCAGGCTGCATAAAAAAAAAAAAAAAAACATATCATATGCACCCAACAAGGACCAGCGACGTACTGGTATATCACTGGACTTTGAGTGGTTATACCAGGATGATCATGGTATCGTTTTTTTTTTTCAGCCGGCGATCGACTTTCATGTAAAAGCAATCCTAGTGGCTAATTAGTTGCAGCATTGCTTTTACAAGCAGAGGGAGAAATGCCCCCTCTCCCAGTGCGTTTCACAGCCTTCTCTGGCAGTCCCGTGCCATCGAATGCAGCCGGTGTTTCTGCCAGCTTACCATAGAGCTGATTGGAGATCGGAATGGTGCCAATCATCTCTATAGTCTAAGAAATCGGAAGCTACGAGTATTTCATAACTTCAGTTTTGCAGGATATAAACCGCCATTTGTAAATTGGGAAAGCATCTGATCACACCGATCTTGGTGAGATTAGATAATGTAAGGGCAGAGGAGATATCTACAGTCTGATAGACCCCAGATTTCTCAAAAAAAAAGTATATGACAATGCCCAATGAAGTTATAGGGGATATTTGCATTTCCTGTGATAGCATTAAAAGTGATAAAAAAAAAAAATGAATGGACATTTTAAAAATAATTAAAATCAAAATAACTTTAAAAAAAAAAGGACCCTGCCCCCAACACCCCCACTCAAAGCCCAAAACGCTCGAGCGTTAACCACATGCCAGTGTGTAAACAGCAGTTGCACCATGCATGTGAGGTATCGCCGCGAACGTCAGATTAAGGGCAGTAATTCTAGCACTAGACCACCTCTGTAAATCTAAAATGGTATAGTGTAAAGGCTTTTAAAGCGTTTTGCTGCTGAATAGTTAAAATGTATGCAGTTTGTTGCCATTGCACGGGCATGCGCAGTTTTAAAGTATGTCATGTTTGGTATCTATTTACTCTACATACCATCTTTTATATTTTACCAAATAATTAGCTAATATATTGTGTTTTTGTGCATTAAAAGTAAAAAAAAGTGTATTTTAAAAAAAGAAACTGTGCGTTTGAAAAATTGCTGCGCGAGTACTATGTGACATGAATAAAATGGTGGGTGCAACCATTTTGTTTACTAGTTTGTCTGCTTTACAAAAAATTTTAATGTTTGGAGATTCAAAGTAATTTCCTAGCAAAAAATACTGATTTTCTTTTTCTTTTCAGGTCAACAAAAAGTGTCTGAAAAGGCTTGGTCTTCAGGTGGTTAGAAGAGTGAGTGATGTGTGGCATAAACTTCTAATACTGGGCATAAAATGCCCCCACCCTCCAAAATGACCCCTTTTTGGAAAGTAGACACCCCAAACTATTTGCTGAGAGGCATGTTGAATCAATTTATTGCTCACACATGCCATGGGTACATATGGAATTACACTCCAAAATACATTCCGCTACTTCTCCCGAGAATGGGGGTACCACATGTAAGAGACTTTTTGGCAGTCTAGCTAAGTACAGGACCCCAAAATCCAATAAGCACCTTCAGACTTTTAAATGGCTTTATTTCCTCATTACACTTTCTGACTACCTATTACAGTTTCAGAGTCCCTGAAATGCCAGGGTAGCACCATTTGATAAGCATGGTGAGTATTTTGCAGATCTTGTTTGTTGCCACACATTTTTGGAAAATGAAAAAAGAAAACAAAAATATTTTTTCTTGTCTTTTTTATATTTCAAAACCTTGTGAGAAAAAAATTAGATCTACAAAGTACTCACCATTCCTCTTTTTAAATTCCTTGGGGTGTCTACTTTCCAAAAAGGGGTCATTGGGGGAGGTTGGTGCTATCCTGGCATTTCAGGGCCTCTGAAACTGATAGGTAGTGAGGAAGTTACGCACCTTCCAGCTTTCATTGGATTTCAGTCTTCTGTATGTGGCTAGGCTCCCAAAAAGTCTCACACGTGTGGTATCCCCATACTCGGTAGAAGCAGAAGAATGTTTTTTGGGGTGTAATGCCACATATACCCATGGCTTGTGTGAGCAATATATCATTTAACCACTTCAAGTCCGGACAAATTTACCCTTTTTCCTGTCCAGGCCAATTTTCAGCTTTCAGCGCTATCAGCATTTGTTTAAAACAGATAAAGCTTTTATTTTTGTGGTATTTATTCACCACTGGGATTTAAATTTTTTTTGCTATATAAATGAAAAAGTCCAAAAATTTTGAATGTTTTTCTTATAAAATTTTGCAAATAAATAATATTTCATCATAAATCTTGGCCAAAATGTATTGTTTTTTTTTAGTAAAAAAAATAACCCAAATTAGTTTATAACCAACAATTATAATTTTAAAAAAAATTTACATTTTTATTTTACTTTTTATATTATTAGTATTATTTTTTTTTTTACATACTGTCACCCTAGCAGTACAGTGTCACCATGGAAGATTTTATTTTTTTTCACACTGATTGCTTTTACACCCATTAAGGCTGTAAAAGCAATCATTTCTCCTTCTCTCTGGCTGCATTCTTGCAGCCATTGAGAAATACTGTGTGAGCTGTGATTGGTCACAGCATGTCACATGGTACAAGGCTGTTGTAAATAGCCTTGTACCATGTGACCTCTGTGATCATTCACAGATTTCACACGTAAGCAAAGATGTCAGAAGTGACATCTTGCTTACTACTCTGCATGTGACCACTGATTGGCCAATCAGTGATCACATGATCGGGACCTCTCACAGAGGTCCCGTACAACAATCCGGAGGACACAGCGGGCACCGGATCGCGGTGCTGTATGCTCCCAGGGAGCGCATGCAAGCAGGGGGCAGGGAGACTATTTAGAAACGGCCACCCGCCCCTGCACTGCCGCCATCCGGCCGTTTATATACAATGGCCGGGCAGGAGGTGGTTAAGTAACAACTTTGTGCAAAAAAAAAAAAAAAAAAAAAGTTTGTCATTTTCCAAATATTTGTAGAAAAAAAAAAAAATCTTCCATGTATTCAATATGCCTCTCAGCAGATAGCTTAGGGTGTCTACTTTCCAAAAAATATGAGGGATTTTTTCAACATTTTCTATCTTTTTTTTGGTTTATAGCGCAAAAAATAAAAAGCGAACAGGTGATCAAATACCACCAAAAGAAAGCAAAGCTCTATTTTTGTAAAAAAAAAAGGGACATAATTTTCATTTATGTATAGTATTGCATGACCGTGCAATTGTCCGTTAACCTAGTGCAGCGCTGTATAGCAAAAAATGGCGTAAATTGCATTATCTATACCATAGTTTGTAGACACTATAACTTTCACACATGGCAATCAACATACACTAATGGGGATTTTTTTACCAAAGACGTAGTAGAATACATTTTGACCTAAATTTATGACTAACTTTGAGTTTACTATATATTTTTTTAAAGCCAAAAGTAAAAAATATTGTTTTTTTTCTCTAAATTTTCTGTCTTTTTTTGTTAATAGCGCAAAAAAATAAAAAGCGCACGGGTAATCAAATACCACCGAAAGAAAGCTCTATTTGTGTGAAATAAAGGACCTAAATTTAGTTTGGGTACAGCATTGCATGACCGCACAATTACCAGTTGAAATAGTGCAGCGCAGAATAGCGAAAAAAAAAAAAAAAAAAAAGGCCTGGTCAGGAAGGGGGGTAAATCCTCAGGAGGGCAAGTGGTTAAAATTCTGGTCAATGAAATAAACGCTTAAGCCCCAAATGCTGCTAAACGTGTCTAAACTGTTTGGAAAACAAATGCAGTTTATGTGAGTTTTCAATGCTGATTTTCAGATGTAACGAGAAACAGCATTTACAATAAACCAGTGTGTGTGTGATGCCTTAAAGTGGTATTAAAAACAAAAACAAATGTAATATAATGCAGTTTACCAATCCTTAATTGTGGTGGCTACATTTTTTATTTCATTTTTTTTTTCTTTCGTTTCACCTGGTGTTCTGGCTAGTACCACACTTCCTGTCTGAGGGTGTCTCCACTCTGGATGGAGGAGCAACAGAGACACCTCTGAAGAGCAATACTGTAAATCTGTGGATAGGGTAGTGTTGAATGCACTAGCAGATTTAGATGGATTTGACTTGCATATTAAAGGTAAACTCGAACACATTTTACAGTGGAGCTCCAAACCCCCAAAAATCCTGTAGCTGCTGACTTTTCATTCCAGGACACTTACCTGACTTTTCATTTCATTCAAGGACACTTACCTGTCAAGGGATCCAGCGATGTCCTCACCCGAACCGATTCTTCTATCATCTTCGGGTGCAGGTGCCAGCATCTTCAGTAAGGGAAACCAGCAGTGCAGCCTTGCGGTTTCGCAGCTGGTTTCATACTGCACATGCATGAAGCATGCAGCACTTTGTAAATGGTCCTGCAGTTTTCTGGGACCGGTGAAATGTCCCAGAAGGCTGCGGGGGGAAGGAGGGGGACTCAGAACTTTTGGCTCAGACCGCCACGGTGCATCTGACCAGAAGTGGGAGTGGGTACCTGTCAACCCCCCCCCCCCCCCCAAAAGGGATGTAAACACCTTTTGGGTGAAGCTCCCCTGTAAGCAGTTACAACATTTTTCCCATTTGGAATAAAGGTTTTACATAAAAGTATGACCATTGTAAGGGTCAGTGTTAAATGGTTTGTCTCAACCCTGTGTCACTGTTGACAGATTGGCCATTTAATCTATGTGAAAAAATAAGACTTACTGACTGGATCACCAGGTGGAAAAAAACCCTAAAAAAAAAAAAAAAAAAAAAAAAAAAAACTAAATAAATGCCTCCACCACATCTAAGAATTGGGAAGCTGTAATATAATAAACGTTTGTGTTTTTGGTTTTTAATACTGCTATAATTTACTTGAAAAGACTGATATCCTTGACGTTTGACCTTCGTTGCACTAGTTGTTAGTATATGGTTTATTGCACGTTTATGAACATCTGTCAGTTTTTCAAATTATCTGCCTTTGTATGTGTGGTCAACACATGCTCTGTAATATACACTTTTGTATATTTCTTGGATTCACCAAGAAATCTCATTAACTTCCTAGGAATTCTGCCTGTAGTATCCGGATCACATTGAGAGATGAAGGTTTTACTTGATCATGTAACCGCTTTTGAACATTTTGTTTCCCCAGACATGAGGGTGAAACTCTTCTGAATTCAGATTGCCTACTTCATGGAAAATGTGTTGCCTAAAATTTCAGATCAGATTTATTTAGTATAAAATCAAAAAAAAAATTGGAACTAAGCAAAAAAGCTCTTTAAATGCAAAGCCTCAGGCTCCCACTGCTGTCAATCATAGCCAATGAGGAGGGGGAGGGGCAGAGCCACGATCTGTGTGTCTGACACACACAGGCAACTTGCTTGCTCTGGGGGCACTCAGCAGGGGAGAGGGGCCAGTGGTTCCAAGAAGAGGAGGATTGGTGCTTCTCTGTGCAAAACCATTACACAGAGCAGGTAAGTATGACCTGTTTAAAAAAAAAAAGTTAACCTTTTAGTATCACTTTAACTGTTCTTAAATGGTAATGTTTCTAAGTCACATGTGAAGAATGTATGAGCAGCCCATGGGTAGGAGGACCGGAGTCCTTTTTTGAAAGATAAAATTTAAAGTGTTACTAAACCCACAACAGTAAAATCAGTCTGTATATGCAGTAAAGCATGCTTGTTATACTCACTGTGGAACCTAAGGGGTTAATCTTCCATATTGTGTAAAAAGGATGTTTGCTCCTCTCTTCTCTGATCCTCCCCTTCTTCCAGTGTCTCCTAAATATCCCCTGATAGAACAGAGGATTGGGGTAAGCTGCACATGCTCAGTTTGGTGTGTATTGCTAAAGAGGTTTTTGGGTTTTGTTTTGTTTTGTTTTTTTGCGAGAGTGCATGTGATCAGCACAGGGCCAATCAGCGCTATCCAGACAGGTCAGGGGTTCTGCATCCTACAGGAGAATGAAATCCTCCTACAAGCTGTAACCAGTGCTTTGCTGGACGCTGATAGAGCAGTCTTGTGACTTCTAACTGCTGATGAAAAAAGGTGTTTAGCAGTTTATATTTACTAAAATACTTGAATTTCCATGTTCTGTGTACTGTGGGAGACCAGATATAGTGAATGCAGGGTGCTGAGTTTTGTAACTATTTAATATCCCAAACCTTTGAGGGGATGTCTGCTAATTGGAAATTTCAGTTTAGGCCTGGGTCACACTAGCTTGATTTCTACAAAATCCCGACAGTGGAAATCGCTTATTTTTCAGTGGTGCCTGTTCATATCAGTGCGGCTCAGCACGGAGCAATTTTGGAAAAGGTTCCTGCTCTGCAATTCCAGTGCAATTTTGGACCCACAGACTTCCATGGAAAAGCACAGAAGTCACATGTACATGCGATTTGATGCAATCCTGATGCAACTTTGAAGCATTTTCATTTGTTTTAACCCTCAACTCTCCAACCAGGGACTTCCTTGCTCCCTCAACTCTACTCTCAGACTTTTTCTTGCTTCTGCCAGACACACTGCTTGTCAGACTGCAGGAAAGATGCAGGCAAGAGGCAGGAGAGATGTGCTTGACAATAAGGATATCCTATGCCTTGTTTGTGAGCAACCACAGATTTGACACCAGGGACCCCAACTACAAGGACCAGGGAAAGCAAGACAGAGCCTGGCTGATTGCCTGCATATAATTTGATGACTACGATACTTTCACAGCCTTAGGGTCTTTTGTACATTTGCTTTCTTATGTGTTTAGTGGCTGATGGCATTCTTTCATGCAGCCAGCAATTACCTGTGTGATGGTGATTTGATGTACACAAAGTGATCTGGAACTACAAGAGACAGTGTCACCTTGCGTATGAACATTTTGTCAAAAATATCCTTTGTTGCATGTGCAAGTTGACAGTGTGACACAGATAAGTGTATGTATTCACCTTGTTTATTATATGGATGTGTAATTGAAGACCTTTTTCCTATGTACATGGAAGTCATTACACATAACCCAGAACTGGCCCCTCTTCCCTATTTGCGAAGACTGAATGAATCAAATACTTGCGCTTCCTCCTCCTCTTCTTCAATCAATGCTGCAGCACTTGCCATAACGACTGCTGCTATAACCAACGACAGAACTTGACTGCTAACCACCACACAACACAGCCAGCCCAGGAAGTAAAAGGGAAGATGATGATATTACTTTTGGAAGTGAGAACATTGCTCCTTAGAATATCTAGGTGTACAGCAGAAGCTTGAATGTTTTTGGGGAGCCTGCACCTTCCAGGGAGCACCCAGTATAAGGAAATTGGAAGGAGATCTTCAGTGTTGTAAATGAGCTCTTGTATTAATAACTTTCCTTAATATACTTGATTGACTGGGTATGCAGTTTTTTGGTCATATGTTTATTTTTTTTCCGGGAATTGAACTTTCAGGAAATGTTGATCAAGCCTTACACGCTCTAACTTGTTAATTTTAGCCAAATGAGCATTTGAAATACAAAACCTGTACAAGTTTTCGTGTGTGTGTGTGTGTTAGTGTGTTACAAGTGCTAAGGATGGATGCATTTTTGTGATGCAGTCAGTGCCAGATATATTTTCAGCTGTGAAATTGCGATGGTATCTGTCAAACAGATGTGTTCTATATGCTGTATACAGTGGCAGAATTTAAGAATACTGGAGCAGCTGTGCAGGGTAACCAATCAGCTTCTGTCTTCAGTTTGTTCAATTTAGCTTGGAAAATAAAAGAGAGACGCTGATTGGTTGCCATGCACATCTGCTCATGTTTCTGGCTGTTCCAATTTTAGACCATTCCCCTGTTTGATTTAGTCAACAGTAACCCAATGTGCCTTCTTAAAGGTCATTACTGTAAGAATTTATGGGTAACACAGCAAAACATATGTTCTTGCACTATACACAGGGAAGTGTAATTGCATTTTAACGTTTTAATATGCAGTTAGCCCCCCTATTTTCAGAAAATTGAGCAATACACTTGGTCTCTTCTTAGGCCACCTTATTTTGAGGCAGTGACCCACCAAGGGTCAATGTTAAAACAAAAATCTAGATACCATTCTATCAGTGCCAGACTAACTGTATGCATCATTCCTTGTAAGACTCGGTTTACATCGTTGCCTTGCAAGAATACACACATTATTGTGCCTGCTGCACGCTTTGGCAATATGGTGACTTTAATTTCTCTCCAGGAATTGTATATTTTTGCATACTTAAATTGGGCCAGCTTGGTAAGTATGCATATGTAATACCTCTTCGGCCTCTTTGGAAGCTGTAAATCACTGTAGTAGTCTGAGCTACTAAAGCGATGGCTGCAATCTTTTGGATGCCATGCTGACCAGCTGCTATTCCTGCAAGGTAACCGCAGGTAGTTGCTTGCACGGCACAGCTGCCATTCAGAGAAAGCCTTGCGTTTTTCTTAATGAGTGCAAAGTGTTCTTTGATTGGATTAAATTGAGAGGAGAGAAGTTGATGTCACGATCCCCGACTCGTCCAAAGGCTGCTTTTGCCCTGCTTATTTGAGAAAAATGCGTGGTATTTTCTGACTTGCTGCTGTGCTGATTGACCCCCAGAAGTGATGTTCGGTTTCTACTTCCTGCTAAGGCATTTTTTCTCTTCTCCCCACCAAGTGATTGCAATGGTTGTCAACTTCAGTTGGTTGTAGTTTGGCAGACATTAGTCAAATGTAAGTTGTGGTTTTTTTTTTTTTTTTTTTTTTTTTTCTACTACTTCTGGGCAGTAAACTACTATACCAATCTGATTTGCTTTAAATTTGAGTAACAAATTAAATACAATACAAATGTGGAAGCTGAATCTAACCTTCCTGCTTTAAGGGTTTTAATCTGGGCTGTATATTCATTTTGAAGTAACTCTCGACCTGAAAACTAAATTCTTTTACCAAGCAGTTTCATTCCAGTGGTTTGCATGAAGGAATTTTTAGGTTGTAGGAATGTTGGTTGGAAACGGATAACCTCAGCTACATTTATAAAGTGTCTTTTGACTGGAAAACCGGTTTCTCCTGTGGTTTAGTGGTGGCAGTGGATCTGGTACAAAATGTCTCCCATTGTGTGTTTTTGAAATGAATTGTTAATGTGTATGTTGTGCTGATGCTGTGGTTTCTGTCTTTTGTAGGTGGATCATGCCAAAGTTCTGCACTACATAGGAGCAGGGGTTGCCTTCCCAACCATATGATGTTCATTTTTTTCCAGTGTATCCTGACATATCGCATGGCACACACTTACTGGAACTGGTGGGCTGGACATGTACGCTGTGTTCTTACATTATTTGGGCTGGTCATTTTAGTGCTCAGTATCCTTTTATATGCTGTCAGTAAAAATTTCAGATGATTTTCTTTGAAAAACAAATTAACTTAAAAATGGTAAGTTTGAGCTGCATTTTCCAGAATGTTTCATGAACAAATATAACAAATAATAATTATTGCAGTTTTACTTTTTGTGACTTTGATGTTCCACATTTTTGTATAAGTAAAAGTATTTGCAAATTAGCCACTAAAAAAGTTCTACTATATATTTATCTGAACTTATTTCTTTGCATCAAGCAAATCTGTGCTTTGTTCAGCAGCACATACAATCATGCCTTTTGCTCCTGGTAAGGAAGAAAATACCCTGTACTTAATGGAGGAGTGAGTTTCATTATCCTCTCATGTAACAATGCTGTTTGTTCCAGAGAGCTGTCACCATAGGAATGGTGACCTAGTCTAAAGTCCTGTGCCAGCTCCGACTAGAGTGATTTCAGAGCTTTTGCATGGCTTGTTTTCCTAGCTTTGAACAGCTGAATGGACCAAGGGAGCGTAAACACAGAGTTTTATACAGCTCTGACAGTGGGCACATGTGTTAGTGAAAGAAATAGTATATTTAGATCAGCTTGATTAAAGTATTTTAAAGTTAAATTAAATCTTTTAAAGACTTTGTAAGTACAGACAAATAGTTGTTGATGGGCCAGGAATTAAAAAAAAAGTGTATCAACCAAACATTTCATATTCCTTATATGTGCCTGTGGTACCATGTACTTGTATGAAAAAAGTATCCTGTTCTCCTTGTATTGCTTTTATTGTGTGAAATCCCTGGTGTTCTGGTCAGTCCCTCTGTGTTCATAAAAAAAAAAAAAAAAAAAAAAAAAAAAAACTGACCACACTAGGCATGAGAGCACGGCGTGGTCAGTTTTTTCTAGCCGTACTGAGAGCTCAGTCTGCTCTCTTCCAATGATCGGACTTGTTCTGGCACAGGGTGGGAGGTTCATGGACCTCTGGACTGTCGGACAAATGAGTCCACAAATTGATTCTGTTGAACTACATAATAGAATTTCACTTCTATCCACCAGACAATTTCTGTCTTTCCAATCTTCATCTTTTTCTGCCTTGCCTACAGACTCTTTAAGGGGCGGTACAGGATCTGCCCCTCCAAGGAGTGGAAACCCCGGTTCTGGGCCTGGAAAGATTTTAGGGATTTTACTTCAACCTGTTAACGGTTCTGAAGAAGGAAAGCGTTCATTCGAGTATGGACCACAAGGCCCTGAATGATTTTGTGAAAGTTCAGATGTTCGAGATGGAATCCCTCTGCTTCATGGTGGCCTCTCTTCAACAGGGGGATTTCCAGCCTCCATAGACATCAAAGGTGCATATTTACAGGTTTCCATGTTTGCTGGGCACCAGCACTTTCTGTGTGCTTTGTGGTCAGGGGCACCCATTATCAGTTTTTGCCATTCCTTTTTGACCTGGCTTCCTCTCCCTGGGTGTTTACCAAGGTGCTGGCTCTGGCCCTAACATGACAGCGGTGGATTGCCGTGATAGGCTACCTGGACAACATCTTCCTGTGAATGGAGCCTCATTCTGCGCTGATGGACAACATTGCAATCACCATGCGTACTCTGCGGGTCTTCAGCTGGGTGTTGAACCTCAAGAAGTCGGCTCGTACCCCGACCAGGTGTCTGGAATATTTGGGAATAACTCACAACTTAGGGTGGTCCAAGGCTGTTCCTCCCACTGGACAAATTTTGGAAACTCTGGGCTGCAGCCTGGCTGTTGCTGTCCCGTAGGTGGTCGTCTCTGCACTTTTCGATGCAGGTTCTGGGCCTCATGGTGACAGTTAGGTCCATATATACAGTGGATATAAAATGTCTACGCACCCTTGTTGAAATGTCAGGTTTATGTGATGTATGTAAACAAAATTAGGCACATAATATAATGGATATGGGCTGAAAGTGCACACTCTCAGGTTTAATTTGAGGGTATGTACATCCAAATTGGAGGAAGGGTTTAGAAATTACAGCTCTCAAGAGTAGCCACCCCCCCTCTTCTTCCTTTTTTTTTTTTTTCTTTTTTCAAGGGACCAAAAGTAATTGGACAATTGAATCAAAAGATGTTTCATGGCCAGGTGTGGGCTACTCCTTTGTTATTTCCTCATCAATTAAGCAGGTAAAAGGTCTGGAGTTGATTCTAAGTGTGGTATTTGCAATTGAAATCTATTGCTGTAAACCTACATCATGCGTTCAAAGGAGCTGTCCATGCAAGTGAAACAGGCCATTGTAAGGCTTCAAAAACTAAACAAATCCATCAGAGAGATGGCATTAGGAGTGGCCAAATCAACAGTTTGGTACCTTCTGAGGAAAGAAGAATGCACTGGTGAGCTCAGCAACATAAAAAGGCATGGACGTCCATGGACGACAACCGTGGTGGATGATCGCAGGATCCTTTCTATGGTAAAGAAAAGCCCATTCACAACATCCAGACAAGTGAATGACACAAGGTGCAAACCATTCATAAGCCTGAAGAATAGAAAAGCCAGAATAGAGTTTGCCAAAAAAAAAAATCTAAAAAAGCCAGACGATTTCTGGAAAAGCATTCTTTGGATGAAACTAAGATTAATCTGTACCAGAATGACAGGAAGAAAAGTGTGGAGAAGGCTTTGAACCGCTCATGATCCAAAGCACACAACGTCATCTGTAAAACATTGTGGAGGCAGTTTGATATCATGGGCATGCATGGCTGTGACAGAAAACCAAAGCGGCCCGATGAATTCTGCAGTGTTTAGAGAGATACTGTCAGCCCAGATTCAGCCAAATGCAGCAAAGTTGATTGGACAGCGCTTCACAGTACACATGGACAATGATCCAAAACACACTGCAAAAGCAACTCACTCACCTGATCTCAATCCAATTGAGCATGTATTTCATTTGCTGAAGTCAAAACTAAAGGCAGAAAGACCCACAAAGAACAACTGAAGACAGCTGCAGTTAGAGCCTGGCAAAGCATCAGAAAGGAGGAAACCTAGTCTTTGGTAATGTTCATGGGTTCCAGACTAAAGGCAGTCATTGCCAGTAAAGGATTCTCAACAAAATATTAAAAATGAACATTTTTTTTATGATTACATTCGAGCCCCTGAAAATAGAGGGACTGTGTATAAAAATGTTAGCAGTTCCTAAAATTTGTACTTTAATATTTATGGTCAACCCCTTGAATTAAAGCTGAAAGTCTGCACTTCAAATTAATTTGGATTGTTTCATTTTGATTATTCTGGTGGCATACAGAGCCAAAAGTATGAAAATTGTGCCTGTGTCCAAATATATATGGACCTAACTGTACGTAGTTCCACACTAGAGTCCTACAAAAGGAAATTTTATCCAAATGGGACAACTCTCCCCTGTCCTTGGACCCCCAGATCCGCATGGGACGTTTGGCCAGGGCTTCCCTGCTTTGGTGACTTTTGTCTCTGACCTTTGAAGCTGGGAGGGCTTTTCTTCCTCTTCATTGGACTGAAGTCACAACAGATACCAGCCTGTCCGACTGGGTGGTGATAGGGAGTTCTGGGTCTGAGACTGGCCCAGGGCCATTGGATGCCAGAAGAGTGTTTGCAACCTCTCAATCTCCTTAAGCTGCAGGCGATCAGACTTGGTCTACCTCATTGGACGGAGCTTCTGCTCCCTAACCAGTCAGTCAACGCTATGTTGGTGACCTATGTCAATCATCAGGGTGGGAGAAGGAGCTCAGCATAAGCGCTGGATGTTTCATACATTCTTCAGTGGAGGAACTTCATGTGCTGGCTCTCTTTACCGTTTACATTCTGGATGTAGAAAACTGACCTTATCAGACGAGAGTGGTTGCTGCACCCAGGCATGTTTCATGAGATCTGTGTGCACACAGACCAAGACCAGCTAGTTTTCTGTGTCAACAGGATAATGTTAACATTCATGCCACAAGCAAGGGATCCCCTGGCAAATGTAATAGACGTGCAGGTGATGTCGTGGAGCCATTATTTCCTCAACTTTCTGTTCAAGCTTCTCCCTCATCTGTTGCGCAGAATAAAGGCTGAAGGGATTCTGCTCATTCTAGTGGCTCCAGATTAGCCTCAGAGATCTTGGTATGCTGACATGGTACAGCTGGATGCAGATGTCCACTGGTAATTTCCTCTGTGAGAAATTTTTTTTCCCAAAGTCAGATTTTCTTTTTCACCTTTACCGTTGCTGGCTTTAATGACATGGTTATTAAAAGCTAGGTCTTGAGAGACAGGTGGTTGACAGACTTGGTGATTCAGACAATGCTGCAGGCCTGTAAATCCCACTTCTCGGAGGATCTACTATCTTTCTTGGAAGGCTTGCATTTCATGGTGCAAGGCTGCAAATTTGTACCCTCATACCTTCTGTGTTTCGGATCAAGAACTTGCTCCGGCAGGGTGTGGATCAGAACTTGGCTTTGAGCACCATTAAGGGCCAGGTTTATGCCCATTGAGCATCATTAAGGGCCAGGTTTCTGCCCTTGAGATTTTTTTTTTTTTTTAATCGTTGGTCACACACTCCTTGATTCATACAAAAGGGGTTCAGAATGTGGCTCCTCCAGTGCGAACTTATCACTGTGGTAGCCGAGCTGAAAGTTCGAGTTGCCAAACGTCAGCCACCAAACCTTAATGACTTGGAGAGGATCTGCCAAGAGGAGTGGGCCAAAATCCCTCCTGAGATGTGTGCAAACCTGTTGGCCCACTACAGGAAACGTCTGACCTCTGTGATTGTCAACAAAGGATTTGCCACCAAGTACGAAGTCACATTTTGTAAAGGGGATCAAATACTTATTTCCCTCTTGAACATCAAATCCGTGCATAATTTGTTAGACATGCATTTCTTTTGAACTTTTTGTTGCTATTCTGTCTGTCAGTGTCACAATGCACCTACCATTTGATTTCTAGACTGATCATTTCTTTGTGAGTGGGCAAACATTCAAAATCAGCAGGGGAGCAAATCCTTCTTTCCTTCACTGTAAGTGGCTCAGAAAATGATTAAACTGAGGTTAAGCATAACCG